TAAGGTGCTGTGTCAGCATGTGACAAACAGCATCTTCCCTTCTGGACCCAGCCTGAAAGCTCCCTTACTTGTACAGGGCAGCACATACCCTGAGCTAGTAAGGGCCTTTTATTTCAAACTTCTTGTGCCAAGAGGTTCTGGCTTCCTTCACTAAGGAAGTCCCCTTAGTGACTTGTGGAAGCCCCTTAATGTGGCTTCCACACTAAGCTTCAAATTGAAAATGGCCTCAACAACGGCCCTGCAACCCCGCTCGCCATGGCAGGGAATCTGCCAACATGCCCCTCTAGTAGAGGGAGGAAGCACTCACAGTTTTTGTTCTCAACAGCTTTTGGAAAATAATGGGTGCTTGGTGTGGGCTCACCCTGAAGCCTGGCCAGCAGGACATGAATCTGGCCATTGTGCAGGCCCAGCCAGTGGCCTGTTTACCCTCCTCCTTCCTCTCCCTGAGAAGGGATATTCCCCCTGCGTGTGTGTTTGGTTGTTATGTGTTTGGTTATTATGCTGCTGGGTTCCTGTTTGCTTGGGTCTCAACACCCGCAAGCAGAAAGCCTGATGTAGGTGGCATACAAATAATTCCATTAGCAGGAGAAAAGGTCGAACTTGTGGGTTTAATCATGGTTGACGCCACTGAAAGTCTCTTTATATGCAGCTAGGAGCAATCCAGCTGGATACCTCTGTAATAATGATTATGGATCAGTTGCTAAAAAGTGAAGGGAATTAATATTTCGCTTGACCAGATGCTGTAGGTTGTCCCTTTTGCCATGCCCTCTGCTAGAATCTCTTGTCCCACAGTGGAACAGAGGAGCTCAGTCTAGACTTGGGGACTGCAACATTTAACCTGCCCTGCCAGCAACAGGGCTCAGGCCTACAGGGAACAGGGCAGAGTCTATGCCCTGCAGCCACCCTTTTGCCCTCTCAGTAGGTCTTCAAAGAGTGGGATAGGGCCATAAACCTGCTCAGAGTCCACAGATACTGGGGCCCGAGTCAGGGAGCGGCTGAAACACCCCTTGTTGCTATCACCCTTGGCTGCAGGAAGCCACAGACTGCTCAGGCTCTGGAAAGCAAGGGCACGAAAGCAGAGAGAGGACACAGACCACCTTTGTGAAAGGCCCTCAGGAGTACAGCACAGGAAAAAAGGTATTGAGTGTTCACTTGTTACTGCTGTGAAGAACTCCCAAGAGGCTGCCAAAAGAGGGGTTTCCACAATATCTTGTCACCAGCCTACACTTTCCAGAGCAGTTAGTAAAATTAACCTTTACGTAAATGAAGCAGGGAGTCACAGACCTAGTAAATACAGGTCATAGGAAAGCAGAGGTTCACTATATGCTCTTTGCAAAGAGCTTGAAAATTTATCAGTCTGGGGCAAGCTAATTAGCCTCTCTGCACTAGCAGTGGAGGAGCTGTAGGGCTTTCCAGTGGTGCATGAAACAAGACTAATGCCTAATGTTGCATACAGATTGGCTAAATGTCATAGAGAACGCTTACCTGTGCAAATCCAGATCTATGTAAGGGAAAATCAGCTTTTCTTTAATCAGTTCCCAGATGACCCGGGTCATTTCATCTCCCTGCATCTCCACAACAGAGCCTCCATTGATTTTGGTAGCCATCTTGAGCTGCAGTAGACGTAAAAAATCCCATAATTTAAAGCATCCTAATACACATTCCTGATGCATACACAATTTACAATTCAGTTAGAAGGGAGATGCTAACACTGTGTTCAGAACCTGTCCTGACACATCTTGGAAATAACCCTGGTTTATTCCCAATTTCATGCTAGCTGGTGTTCTTAAAGACTCAGCATTTACAGGCATCTGACGGGGGATAAAATAGAATGTTAATAACTGAGATCTAAAGCTTTGTGTGTTCTGAACTTTCACCATGGTTTTTGCAAAGAAGTTTGAAAGTATTTCTCCAAATTCTGCAGGATAAAAAAAAAAAAAGATTTTAGATTTCATGAGTTCTGGTCCAGTTACCTGCTCTCCTCCCTTTTCTGAAATATCTGAGGTTAATAGGCATTTTATTTTAACAGCAGTTGGCTTGTATTGTCAGCGCTACAAGGAGCCCTGCATTGCCCAGTTCTCTGTTTGCTTCCTTCCTGAGGAAGGAAGCAGGTACGGAGATGAAAGGGCCACATCAAGAGCACTTTCTCCTGACAAAACTTTATTTCTGATGGAAAAAAAAATAGTGGACAGCTTTGTTTTCTGTATAAAACAAAGGTTTCCAAGATATTTGCTCATAGACCGCTGGAAAGAGAGCTACCCCCCACTGAACTCCGCCTTGCATTTGCACTTTGCTCCTTGACAAAAAACCAATGCCAGGAATCACTGAACTGTTCTAGCACAGTACTCCGCTTTCTAACGTTCAGGGTTTCCTATTATTATGCAAGAGCTGTGACTTGGCACTTTTTTCCTCCCAAGACAGCCCCGTTCTTACACGCAGCTCCTTGGCTGCTGCGGCGAAACACCAAACCCTTGTGCAGGCGCGAGGGACTGAAGGCCACAAGTGGCCTTTGTGCAGAGCGGGGAGTTGTACCGAGCACAGCCCCCTCACGCACACGTTTACTCGGAGGTGTAGGATGCTGCAGCGCGAGAGCCCAGGCTGGAAGCACGTGGGGACTCAGTGTTTTTGAATGTCCAATCCATTAAATACATTAGGAGAAGAACAAAGAATTTCTGGGTAAGCTTTGTTCTAAGCATTGCACAGGTTTTGCCAAGTAATTCTTGCTGTTCAAAGATGTCTCCACAAGTGACAACGTCACTACTGACAGTTTGATGCAAGCACATCAGTGTGATTAAGGAACCAGTCCGAGGCTTCCTCATCCCATAGAGGAGGGCAACTTGGCTCAAATTAGGCCTTCCTTGTCCTCATGAAAACGCCCTCAGAATCACTTCGCTCAGGAAGAACTCAAGTTATTTAGACAAGCACTCAGGGCCGGGTCCCAGCTACAACGTGTTATTAGCGGCTGCGGCAGTCTCGGTCCCAGACACAGCCGTGCCCGGCAGGGATGGGATCTGGCCTGTGGCACTTGCACAGCTGGATCCCGCTGGGCTGTGATCCCTGCGGCATCCAGGGACACGGAAGCGGGCCGGTGTCGCCGGAGCGGACGCTCTGCGGGGGCTGCCTCCCCCGCGGGGCCGCTCGGCGACCCCCGTCCCTCTGCCGAGGCCGCCCCTTCCCCGCGCCGCCCGCCCCTCGGCGGCCGCC